CTTCCAATCTTCTACTACTAATCATACTGAAGATCTTGTGTTTTGACTCTACAGGAGAAGGTAAGTGGGAAGAGCAAGAAATGGAGGTTGTTTAGGAGCTCTTCCGGGGACTTGGTTTCCTCGTGGAAGGTCTTTAAAGGGAAGCACAGAGGAGAGTCAGATGGGTCTGACTATGCAACTGATGCTTTCACCGCCGCAGTGGCCACAGTAGTTCGAGCTCCTCCTAAAGATTTTAGGGTTGTAAGGCAAGAATGGGCAGCCATTCGTATCCAAACTGCTTTTCGAGGCTTCTTGGTAACTTTTTCATCACCCATTGCTCCCTTTCTCACTTTTCTTAGTTTGGTAGCTGGGAAAATGAAAGAATGTGGAAGCTTAGGAGATAACTGGTAGTTTGAGTTTCAGGATTCATTTTCTTAACTCTTATGCTCAGATTGCAAAGGACTCCATCCAAATAATGTCCACGGTTTGAAATTGCATTTTCCTTGAATTGAAATCGGCTATGTTTGGTACAGCTAGTGGGAAGTCTTTTCCCCAAGAGCTCCAGCTGCACCAAACTAATTTGTGAAAAATGCAAATTAGTATTTTGTTGATTTTATTGCAAATCTAAAAGCACCGATGTGCTTCTGAAGATAAAATTAATATATTATTTCTATTTTATTCTTATTTTTTTTATTTACAAAAACAGTATTTCTAACGATAGTTTCTTTCCAATAAAACTTTTATTAAAAAGCTCCCTCACACCAAACAGGCACGAAGAGTTATGAGCAATAGATCTTTTAGTATCTGGTCTCCTAGTAGTTGTTTATTCCATGTTTAGTTATGCTTGTTAATTCCTTAGTCAGTAAGCATTTTTCATCTTTGTCTTTCCTGTTCTGTTCATGTTATGGAACTGTCCTAATGTTTAATACTCATTTTTTGTTTAGGCGAGAAGAGCTTTGAGAGCTTTAAAAGGAATTGTAAGGCTTCAAGCCTTGGTTCGTGGTCGACAAGTGAGGAAACAGGCAGCTGTTACACTTAGGTGCATGCAAGCCCTTGTTCGTGTTCAGGCCCGAGTCAGGGCTCGTCGTGTGAGAATGTCTATAGAAGGACAGGCGGTTCAAAAGATGCTTGATGAACACCGAAGCAAAGCTGATCTCTTGAAACAAGCAGAGGTGGATTAACCAACTTGTTTCCACCTAATTTATACAAGATTATTGTTCTCTTCTCCCGTTATCCTCTTCCTCATTTCCTAGCTCGTTGGCATTTCTGTATTCTATGACTGTAAATGAGTTTTGCATTTTCATTATCTTGTAATTTTTTCAGGATGGATGGTGTGATAGCAAAGGAACACTAGAAGATATAAAAGCAAAATTACAAATGAGGCAAGAAGGAGCCTTCAAGAGAGAGAGGGCACTTGCTTATTCTCTCGCACAGAAGGTGTTAACGCGAACTTTCTTCTGATTAAAATACCTCTTTATTAATGTTTGCAGAAGCCAATTCTTTGATTTCTTTGTTTTGACAGCAATGGAGATCAAACAGTTCTCCAAATGCCCGAATAAACAATTCTGTTCCATATCTCAAGAATCAAGAATTTGACAAAAACAGCTGGGGATGGAGTTGGCTAGAACGTTGGATGGCAGCCAGGCCATGGGAGACCAGATTGATGGAACAATCACATCTTGACTCCACAGAGGCAACTCCACCAAAGAGCTATGTAGAGGCCCCCGTAGGAAAGAACTCAAGATCTTTAGATTCCCTTGAAGGAAAGAATTCAAGATCTTCTGAACCATGTCCTGTGAAAGTAAGGAAGAACAATGTCACAACTAGGATTTCTGCAAAGCCTCCCCATATTGGGCAAATTACTCATTCATCTTCAAGCCCAAGTTCTGAATATCCATATGAAGAGAGCTCAGGTTCATCCTCTATTTGCACTTCTACAACACCAGTTTCTGGGAATACAATTCTGGCTTCAGAAAGAGCAGAAGAGGGTGGCAATTTTAGACCAAACTACATGAACCTGACTGAGTCTACTAAGGCAAAGCAAAGAATGCAGAGAGTTCAAAGGCAGTCCATGGATGAGTTCCAGTTCAAGAGATTGGCTGCTATCTATAATGGGGATTCAAAAAGTAGTGCAGTTTCGGATCCTTCTGTCAATTTCTCTAGACCACTTAACCTACCAACACGATTCGATAAAAGCTCAGTGAAACAAAGGGAGGGGGGTAACTACATGGGTGATTGATCGTTGTTTTTCTTAAAGAAGTCCAACATCTTGTTGTTCAATGTCATTTAGAATGTGGATGAAATTGGTAAGCTGTAGCAAAAGCAAGCCCTTGTGAGCACTTTGTATCTGATCTGAGGATAATTCATTTTGTAAAATTGTTCAGTTTAGTGTTGATTATGTTGAAATTAAGAGTCCTCTTCGTTTCCCTAAAGTCATTTTGATGATTTGAACGAGAATTAAGTACTATTTAGCTGGGTAAAAGACTATCTTACTCATTCTAGTGTTTCATACAAGTTTACACACCTCTTCGCAGATTAATAACAGCAGTTTTCTTCAAGTTCTTTTGATGGCTCTGAGCTTTACACCGTGCTTGTAGTTGAGAATTATGCCATATTCAAGCTCCAAGGGATTTTCCATCTTGGGAGAATGTCGAAATGTATATTTCCTGTATAAGTGTATCAGTGACAGTTTTAATTCTTGGAGGGAGAATTTTTGGCCAATGCATGCTCGAGGGCCGATTCCGAAAGGGATGAGAGCGTAAGGATGCCTCCGTTTCTCTTCTTCACAATTGGGATCAAACCTCTCCGGTTTGAATTTGTCTGGCTCAGGAAAATTCTTGGGATCTTTAGCCAAAACTCCAAGTGCCAACCAGACCCATGTTCCCTGCTCATCAAAGAAGACAGAAATGAACACAGAGTAGATAGCCTTTTTGGCTCTAGAAGAATGAATAAAGGGCAAATTTAATACTTTTGGAAGGAGATAGCCTCCTATCTCCACTTCTTTTGATGTTTCCCTTGCTACTAATGGGGAAACAATGTAGAATCTCATAGTCTCCTTTATCACCTGCATTCAAAACCAGCAGGAATATGAAGCTTGATCTCATAGCATTTTTAATGTCAAAAGAAACTGATGCACAAGAGGACTTACCCGGTCAAGGTAGGGGAATTTGTGCTGAAGATCATGAGCAGTTGGCACCACATCTACCGGTCCAAACCCATCAATCTCAGCAAGCAACTTTTTTTCCACCTCAGGATGTCCAGCCACCAGATAGACAACAGAGGACAGAGTAAATGCTGTTGTTGCTGACCCGGCAAGAAGATGTTCATAAGTAACTGCACTAATATAATCCGGAGAAAAAACTTTCCTTGACTCTTGTTGAGATTCTCTTGCATTCAATATCAGTGATAAGAAATCCTTGGATCCCTTGTTCTTTTCTTGCATTCTCTTTGACACAATCTCATCAAGTCTGCCTGACAGTTTTCTGTTAGTCCTATCTACCTTCCAGTCCATGGTACCTGGAATCCTCTTAAGAATCTGCCTAAATGGTTCTTGCAAGATTGGGAGAAGCAGACCTATTATGATGGAAAAAGAACCTGATAAGTCCATCTTAAGTTGTGTGGTGGAGTAGACATGCTGATTGATGAAGTCAGAGACTTCATCATTTTCATCAAGTTTCCTTGTTGAGTTGGTGATTGATGATTGTGATTTGGAGAGGTTAAAGTGAACGCCAAAAGCAGCTTGACCTATTACATCGGTGGCCAATTTGAGCGAGAAGTTAGAAAAGATGATGTCTTCTTCTTCATGGAGGTTCTGAATTGCAGAATCAATGTAAGCTTGCATTGTAGGCATTAGACTGGCCAGGTGGGATGGCTGATAAAAAGATAAAATGGTGTTTCTCATGGTGGACCATCTTGTATCCCTGCAAACAATATCAAGATGGTGATTCTTGTCAAAAACTGCTCAACCTAAAAGCTTAAAGCTATCAGACGAACATTCAAGAATATTATTAATCCCAAATGCACCTGGTGAAGAAGAGACCCTTCTGATGAAGAGGGGAAGCTTTGATGGGAGAAGGAATGCTTCTATTAGGGATGTCTTTAAATTTCTTTATGCCAACTTCTTTGCACAGCTCTGGATCTGCTACAATTATCAGTGGCTGTCTTCCCATATGAAACCTGATAAGATTAAAAACAATCATGCTCAATCATCAGAATCTGACAAAACCCATAATTTTCTCCAAGGGAAAGCTCAGGAAACTAACCTGAAAATAGGGCCATACTGTTTGGCAAGGACGGAAAACACATCAGGACCATACTTAGCCATCAGTGGCAAGTGTCCTAGCAGAGGGATTGTTGGAGGACCAGGGACCTTTCTGACCCCCCAGTATGGTCCATAGAGATAGGCCACTAATCCTGCTACCAAGGCCAAAACCGTGAAGATTGTTGATACCAGAGGGACAGCGTTGAAGAACCATACTATCTCCATGCCCATTAGGCTTTGAAGATCAGACATGAGGAAAAGGGTTTTGGTTCTCGGAGAAGTTTAGAAGGGCATTAATAAGGATTGATAATGGAGGAGTGAGCATATCACTAAGCTTCTTTATGGACACCTAGTCTTTGTCCGTATATGAGAAATGATTTTATTGATGACATATAAAAAAAAAGACCTTTCACCTTCACCCATAGGATTATATTAGTTTTTGGATGGTTTGAAAATTATCATACTCCGCGTGCTATGGTGTTTCTGATTAAGCCTATCCACTGACATCCGCCCCTTGAACTTCATCTAATCGTCTAAACTCAAAAAGGTCATTTATCTCTATTGATTTTTCTATGGATATTTGCATCCCATTTTTGCATCACAGTGTGCATCACTAAGACAAGTTACGTGATCACAAGTAGTTCAGATAGATCATGAAAAAGACACTAATGGAGCTAGATTTTTCTCCAATAAATTTGATTTTTAAATAACATACTCTCAATTAAAAGTTTTATATTTTATAATTTAAATTACACTGAATTTTAAAATAATAACTATTGAATAGAAAGAGATAATAACTCCTAATATCAAGAAATTTGTCATTATTTATTGATTTAAATTGTATAATTTTAATAAACTTATCATCTCTGAAAGGTGCAAAATGGGCCCGTTATCCTTTGAGATTATTCCAAACATGATAAGCTTGTCCACATGCTCAATCCCTGTCTTATTAGGTAGTATTATTCTTGTTTCCAGAAGCAGTTTGTGTGACAAATGATTCCTTTTTAACTCATCTCTAGATGGAGAATAAATCTTTTAGGTGAACTAACGACATTCCTTGTGAAACGACAAAAACGGTAGATGCTTTATACTTCTGTTGATATCGTGGCCCAACACCACGAGAGTTGCACATGAAAGCTCACGGGGGATGCAATACCCTACAATCAGACAAATGATATGATGGTCTCCACAAGGTATTCAATACTTCACTTTTTTTCTATTACTTAAGGTTAGTAAGAAGTATTGTTGATTTTGGCATCAAGTTTGTATCATCTATTTATGACAATCTTGAACAGTTAAAGATGGTTCTCGTATACTTTATTATCAAGTAGAGCCAAAAAGACAAATTATTTCTTGACTGAGTGTATAAGTATGTATGACAAATGATTAATTAGAAGATAAATTAAATGGAAATCACAAGGGAAGGTCGAACCAAGCTAACCTGTTCTGATGCGGAAGAATTCAAGATGTTCTAACATGCATGATTGATTGTTATTTTTCTTCAAGAAGATCACCATCTTGTTTTCTGGGATTTAGAATGTAGAAAGTCTAAATGCAGCCTTACTTTCTCTGTTTCTAATATTCCAGACAAAGGGTATAACAAGTACATTAGTGTTTCAAAGTTCTTCTAACTGCTCTAAGCTTTACCCCATGCTTGAAGTTGAGAACCATGCCATATTCAAGTTCCAAAGGTTTTTCCATGTTGGGTGAGTGTTGATATGTGTATTTCCGGTATACATGTATCAGTGAGAGTTTTATTTCCTGGAGGGTGAATTTCTGGCCAGCATGCTCGAGGGCCAATCCCAAAGGGTATGAAAGCATAAGGATGCCTCTGTTTCTCTTCTTCACAATTTGGGTCAAACCTTTCTGGCTTGAACTTATCCGGTTCAGAAAAATTCTTGGGATCTTTAGCCATAACTCCAGGGGCTGATCATTCCCATGTTCCCTGCTCATCAAAGAAGATGGGAAAATGAACCAAAAAGGTTGCATGTTTTTGCTATTAAGCAGAGAGCAGAGAAAATGGCAAAAGGAGTTACCTTCGGAAGAAGGTAGCCTCCTATCTCTATTTCCTTCGATGTTTCCCTTTCTATTATTGGGGCAAGAGTGTAGAATCTCATAGCTCCTTAATCACCTGCAATCAAAATCAGCATGAAAATGATGATGTTTAATCTCATGACAACTTTAATTAATCTTAAATTTCGAAAAGTGAAGAACAACCTGATCAAGATAGGCGAATTTGTGCTGAAGATCATGAGCAGTTGGCACCAGATCATGTGGTCCAAATCCATCAGTCTCGGCAAGCAACTTCTGCTCCACCTCTGGATGTCCCGCAACAAGATAGACAACAGATGACAATGTGAATGCTATTGTTGATGATCCAGCAAGCAGATGTTCAAAGGTAACTGCGCTAATATAATCTGGAGTAAACATTCTTTGTCTCCTGCTGGGATTCTCTAGCACTCAGCGACAAAAAATCCTTGGATCCTCTGTTCTTTTCTTGCATTCTCTTGGACACCATCTCATCAAGCCGGCTAGACAGTTTGCTGATAGTCCTATCTAACTTACAGTCCATAGTACTAGGAATCCTCTTAAGAATGTTCATGGAAGTGTGAATTTTACTTGGACACTCATTAGCTAGTATTTTAATTATATTTAATGTATTGGAGCCATGTGATGTAATTTGTCTTTTTGTATTTTGGTAGATAGTGATCAAAACCACTCAAGTTTGTTCAATGTAAGAAGCAAGCTCCATATATCAATCAATGATATCAAAGGAAGACGCATGGTCATGTCTTCCAAGTTTTCCCTCAATTTCTCTTCTTTGTTTTCCTCTTACAGTGAGCTTTTTGTGCTTATCTTCTTCTGATCTCCATCAAAGTGGTATCAAAGCTGTATTCTTGAGGGACTTGTGAGAGAGTGGAAACACGAATGTATGTGAGGGAGAGTGTTGTGTAATCAAAAATCACAGCTATGTCTTCAAACAACCATGGAAGCTTTCTTTCTAATCCTTCGCTGTTCATCGACGAAAACTACAATGTTTAGGCCATCAAGATGAAGACCTTCTTGAGAGGTAATGATGTGTGGGAATCAATAGAGAAGGGCTTTAATCCTCCATGGTTACCCCAGAATCCAAGTTTGGCTCAAATCAAGAACCATGCAGATTATGTTGCAGGATCCTACAAAGCTTTGTCTTTCATACAAAGTGGGGTTTCTGATGAAATTTTTCCTAGAATTATGAGAGCTGAGACAGCTCAAGATGCATGGGAAACTTTGAAGAAGGAATACAAAGGAGATGAAAGAGTCAAGGGCCAGAACATGGTTACTCTCAAAAGAGAGTTTGTTATGTTGAAGATGAAGGATACAGAGACTGTTCATTAGTATTCTTCAAAGGTGATGGATCTGGTTAATAAAATCAAATTAAATGGTGAGGACTTTCCTGATGCCACAATTGTGGAAAAATGTTGGTGAGCCTTCCTGACAGGTTCAAGTAAAAAATCTCTGCAATTGAGGAGTCTTACAACTTGAAGGAGCTAATAGTTGTCAAATTAATCGCCAAGTTGCTGTTGGTTTTTTTTCACAACCATGTACCACCCCTCTCAAACAACCTCAGCTCTTCCTTCATTGCAGCTTTCCTTCTTTGGATTTTGTTGCCTCAAACAAATTTTGGAGGTTTTGCATTTTCTAAATAAATAAAACAAGGGATTGTTACCTCAAGTGCTTTGCTTCATCATCCCTTTTCATCTTCTATAGCTTCCTTGGGCTAAGGATTTTGGCTACTCGGTCATGAAAATGACTTGATGCAATGTTGAGTACTCTCTCAGTCCCAATTTGCATCTTCACAAGCCATCCTTGCTTTTTTTGACTAATGCTATAGCGTACAACACCACCCATACCAACAATGTAAACCAGCATCTTTTGCTCTTGCTTCTTGCAGATCTTCTGCTTCAAGAAGATTGAAGGAGGTTAAGTTAACCTTCAACTTCACAGCTTCACTTACTTTCTTCTACCTTAACAAATTGGTTGCATCCTTTTGTCAACCACTTTCAAAGATTGAAGGACCTAAAGTTAATCTTCATCATCACAGCATCTTTGCTGCATTTTTGGTCAGAGGAGTTTGCTGTGTTGGGTAAAAAAAAAAAGGTATTTTGAAAGAAAACACTTGCTAGTAGCCATTTAGGTTTGGTCGAAGTTTGTGGTGGTAGATTTCCCTCAAATCTCTCTCACACAAGCCCTCAAAGATCATGAAAGGCTCTGATATCATGTTGGTTTTTTTTCACAAAGAAATGAAGAGAGCAAATCGGGAGGAAGATGAAGAGTAGAGCATAAACTAAAATGGAGAGAAGTAAAAAAAAAACCAACAATTGCAAGCTTATGAACAACGAGTTGTCCTAAGAGCTAAAGATACAGCTGAAGGTGCATTCCAGGCTAAGGAGAAGCAACATGTAGCTGGTCATGAAAGAAGACAACCTCTTAGCAGAGTTGAAAAAGGAAAAGCTGTTGTTGTTTAATCATAGCAGCTAAAGGACAAATTTCCACCATGTTCTACTTGTAGGAGGATAAATCATGAAGAAGAAGATTGCTGGTATGAGGGAAAGCCTCAAATACGATGCAAGTTTTGTAAGAAGCTTGGTCATATTCAGAGAAACTGTAAAGCCAAGTAAAATCAGTATAGGCCAAAACTGTTGGATTTTTTAGGTAAGAAGGGGGGGGATTGAGAGAAAGAGAGCATGGTTTCTCCTCTCCGGTTGGGTGAATGTTTACACCCTTCCATGTTTATGGCTTTTATGTTCAATGTTATATTGTGTTGTTTCTGCTATAAATAGCAGAATATCAATGGAAGAAAATGGGTTAGACCTCACCAAGCAAGGTAACTCCAAGGTGTCTCTCTCCTTCTCCTCCAAGTCCTCTCCAAACCTCCTCTTGACAACAGAAAAATCTAACAAAAACAAAAAACTCAGCAAGCACATTTCATTGATGATTATGGTGAAGATCATTTGTTTATGGCCTTGCATGGTAACTCTTCTAGTAACAAGCACTCATGGCTTGTTGATAGTGGCTACACTAGTCATATGGTGAAAGACAAGGACCTTTTTACAAAGCTGGACAATTCAGTGAGGATTAAGGTCAAGTTGGGCAATGGCTCTATGGTTCAATCAGATGGAAGAGGCATAGTGGCTATTCAATCAAAGAGAGGTACCAAATACATCTCTAATGTTCTTTACATACCTTCTTTGAGCCACAATCTACTTAGTGTAGCTTAGATGTTGAGGAATGGTTATTTAGTATCATTTATGCATGATTCCTGTCACATTTATGATCCTAATGGTGATGAATTGGCTAGAGTTGATATGGTTGATAATTGTTTTCCACTGCTTTTAAAGTTTCCTGTACAATCTATGTCTGTTTCTAAGGTCGACAACACTGATTTATGGCATAGGAGATATGGACATTTTAATGTCAAGTCTCTAAAATTCATGCAATCTAATGAATTAGTTAGAGACATATCTGAGATTTATTTGAAAGATGATATTTGTTGAAGCTGTCAATATGGAAAGTTGCATAACTAGTCCTTTCCTATGAATTTGTCATGGAGAGCTAAGCATAAGCTTGAGCTAGTGCACACAGATGTTTGTGGGCCAATGAAGACACCATCTCTTAGCCATAATGTTTATTTTGTGCTATTCATTGATGATTTTACTAAAAGGGCATGGATTTATTTCTTGAGTAACTGTTGGGATTTTTTATCAAATAAAATGAAGAGGGGACCGAGAGGAATATGATGAAGAGCATAACACATAAAATGGAGAGGAGTCTGTGACTTCAAGCCAATTTTTTCATTAACAAACTCTCATATTTCTAGGAGAATACAATCTTTAAACAATTCAAGATTCAAACAATTCAAGATTCAAACAACTATTTTACATTAAAAAACAATAAATATACATTTGAATTTTGAAATGAGTAACAGCCACTTTTGCTGCTGCATGCTTGCATCCTTTGCAGCCTCTTTGCAGCTCTGCAGCTTCTTTGCAGCTCTGCAGCTTCTTTGCAGCCTTTCATTTGCATTTGCATTTGCATTTGTATTTAATTTGTTGTTCATGGTAGCCTCATTTCATCAACATTTGCAGCTCAGCTTGCTACACATTTTTGCTGTCATTTGACAGCTTCATTTCCCTCATATTTACAGCTAAATTGCTGCCATATTTGCTGTCAAATTGCAGCTTCATTTGCTGTCAAATTGTAGCCTCATTGTTGCCATTTCATGGCAGTTTCATTTCATTATTTTTGCATATTTGAATGGCACATTTCTAACCAAATTTCCAACACTCCTCCTTGGCATCAAAGCTATAAAATCAAAAATAGAAATAGATTTATACCTAAGCACCTGGGATCAGCCCTTTGCTGTCCATCTTATGCTTGGTTTTCACCCCTTTTTTTTCTCATCATAGCCATGTACCATCATTCTCAAAGAACCTTAGCTCTTCCTTCATTATAGCTTTCCTTCTTTGGATTTTGCTGCCTCCAACAAAATTTGGAGGTTTTGCAACTAAGTTGCTTTTTTTGAGTAAATAAAACCAAGGAATTTGGTACCTCAAAGTGCTGCTTCATCATCTTCTACATCTTCTACAACTTCCTTAGGCTAAGTATTTGGCTACTCGGTCATAAAAATGACTTGATGCAATGTTGAGTACTCTCTTGGTCCCAATCTACATCTTCACAAGCCATCCTTACCTTTTCTGGACTAATGCTGTAGCATAAAACACCACCCATACCAACAACATAATCTTCTACCTCAAGAAGATTGAAGGACGTCAAGTTAACCTTCAACTTCACATAGTCTCTTCTGCCTTAACAAATTGGTTGCATCCTTTTGTCAACCACTTTCAAAGATTGAAGGACCTAGAGTTAACCTTCATCATCACAGCATCTTTGCTGCATTTTTGGTCAGAGGAGTTTGCTGTGTTGGGTCAGAAAAAACAGGGTATTTTGAAGAAAAAACTTGCTGGTAGCCATTTGGGTTTGGTCGGAGTTTGTGGTGGTCTTTTTCCCTCAAATCTCTCTCACACAAGCCCTCAAAGATCATGAAAGGCTCTAATACTATGTTGGGATTTTTTATCAAAGAAAATGAAGAGGAGATCGAAAGAAATATGATGAAGAGCAGAACACATAAAATCGAGATGAGTCTATGACTTCAACTCAATTTTTTCATTAACAAACTCTCCTATTTATAGGAGAATACAATCTTTAAACAATTCAAAATTCAAACAACTATTTTACATTAAAAACAACAATAAAATACATTTGAATTTTGAAATGAGTAACAGCCACTTTTGCTGTTGCATGCTTGCGTCCTTTGCAGCCTCTTTACAGCTCTGCGGGTCTGCAGCTTCTTTGCAACTCTACAGCCTCTTTGCAGCCTTTTCATTTTCATTTGTATTTAATTTTCTGTTCATGGCAACCTCATTTCATCAACATTTGCAGCTTAGCTTGCTGCACTTTTTTGCTATCATTTGACAACTAAATTGCAGCTTCATTTGCTGTCAAATTGCAGCCACATTGCTGCCATTTCATGGCAGTTTCATTTCATCATTTTTGCAAATTTGAATGCCACAATTCTAACCAAAATTCCAATAGTAACAAATCTCAAGTCTTCTCCGTGTTTGAGAAATTTAAAGCCCTTGTTGAAAAACAAAGTGCATGTCAACTCAAGACTCTCAGGTCAGACAATGACAAGGAGTATACCTCTTCTGAATTTGATAAGTTCTATGAAGATGCTAGTATAGTTCATCAATTGATAGTCCCATACACTCCACAACAAAATGGAGTTGCTGAAAGGAAGAATAAGACTATTATGGTAATGGCAAGATGCATATTATATGAGAAGAAATTGCCCATGAACTTTTGGGTTGAGGCCGTGAATACAGCAGTATATTTGCTGAATGGACTCCCTACAAAAGCAATAAAGGGAATGACTCCAATTGAAGTTGGGTATGGCCTTAAACCTTTTGCCAATTATTTAAAGGTTTTTGGTTCAATATGTTATTGTCATGTGCCATCTGTTAAAAGAACCAAGCTAGATGTAAAGGCAAAACCTGGTATATTTGTTAGGTATGCTACAGAATCCAAATGCTATAGAATTTATAACATGGCAACCAAGAAAGTTATTGTTCACAGAGATGTACAATTTGATGAGAATGCATACTAGGACTGGAATAAGAGGGAAGTTGTCAAGGCTACTTTGCAAATGATCATGCGGAAGCTTCCAAAAAGGCTGATCAAAATTTAATTGATGATTTAGAAGTTGCTGGTATTGATGCTTATCAAGATACTCCTGTACTGAAAAGCAGAAAGTTGTTAAGTATTTATGAGAAGTGTAATATGGCCATGTTAGAACCAGGTACTTATTTTGAAGCTTCTCAACATGAAGTTTGGATTCAAGCAATGCAGGGGGAGATAGACATGATTAATAAGAATGGCACTTGGGAATTAACTTTTCAACCAGAACAAAAGAGGGTGATAGGGGTCAAATGGGCTTATAGAACTGAAATGAACCCAGATGGCTCAATTCATAAGCACAAAGCTAGGCTTGTAGCAAAAGGATATGCTTAACAATCAGGGGTTGACTATGGTAACACTTTTGCTCCAGTTGCTAGACATGATACAATCAACTTGTTGCTAGCCTTATCTACATGTATGGGTTGGAAGCTGTACCATATGGATGTTAAGTAAGCTTTTCTTAATGGTTATTTGCAAGAGGATATCTTTGTTGAACAACCAGAAAGCTTTGTAATTTTTGGACAGGAGGAGAAGGTTTACAAGCTGAAAAAGGCTCTTTATGGGCTTAAACAAGCTCCTAGATCATGGTAATAGCAGAATTGACTCATTTCTAGTGCAACAAGGTTTTGTTCGAAGTGAGAATGAGCCAACTCTTTATGTGAAAGTCTCCAAAGGTGAGTTTTCTACGCAAATGACTGCTAATCATGATGCTAAGTTGCTGATTTCTTTGTATGTTGATGATCTTTTAATTACTGGAAGCAACTTACAATCACTGCAATATTTTAAGTTTGAAATGATGAAGGAATTCGAAATGTCTGATTTGGGACAAATGAGCTACTTTCTTGGCATGGAGATAACTCAGATGGATGGTGGGATTTTTGTTTCATATCAAAAATATGCTCTTAATGTACTGAAGAAATTCAACATGGGGACGTGCAAGTTTGTTTATACTCCACTTGTGCAAAATGAAAAAATGATGAATGATGATGGAAGTAACAAAGTTGATGCTTCAATTTTTAGAAGTCTGGTAGGAAGTCTTTTATTTTTAACTACAACCAAACCTGATCTTATGTTCTCTGCTAGCCTCCTTTCAAGATTTATGCATTCTCCAAGTCAAGTTCATTACAATGCAGCTAAAAGGGTTCTTAGATACTTGAAGGAAATTGCAGATTATGGCCTTATGCTTAAGAAGAGCAATGTTTGTGTTCTTAAAGGTTATGCAGATAGTGATTGGGTTGGATGTCTTGAAGATGCTAAGAGCATTACTGGATTTGTCTTTAATCTTGGTTCTACAACTTTTTCATGGATTTCTTGAAAGCAGGATGTGGTGGCTCAATCAACAGCTGAGATCGAATATATTGCAGCAGCTGAAGCAACTAATCATTCGACATGGATTTGCAAAATGCTTACTAATATGGGCTATAAACAAATTCAACCTTGTGTTCTTTGTTGTGACAACAACTCAGCAATTGCAATTGCACATAATCCAATGCAACATGGCCGGACCAAGCACATGAATGTCAACTACCATGTGCTTAGAAATACGATGCAGAACAATGAATTGAAAATTGTCTACTATAGTATGAAAGAGCAAGTTGCTGATATACTGACCAAAGCTCAGCCAAGAGCTAAGTTTGAAATGTTCAAAGAAATGCTTGGAATGTCTAAGAAAAATTGCGAGGAGGAGTGATGGAAGTGTGAATTTTACTTAGATACTCATTAGCTAGTATTTTAATTATATTTAATGTATTGGAGGCATGTGATGTAATTTGTCCTTTTGTATTTTGGTAGATAGTGGTCAAAGCCACTCAAGTTTGTTCAATGTAAGAAGCAAGCTCCATATATCAGTCAATGATATCAGAGGAAGACGCATAGTCATGTCTTCCAAGTTTTCCCTCAATTTCTCTTCTCTGTTTTCCTCTTACAGTGAGCTTTCTGTGCTTATCTTCCTCTAATCTCCATCAAATGTGTCTAAATGGTTCTTGCAGGACAGGGAGAAGCAAACCAATTATGATAGACAAAGAACCTTATAAATCCATCCTAAGCTGTGTGGTGGCGTTCATGTGTTGATTGATGAAGTCAGAAACTTCATTATTTTCATCAACATTCCTGACTGAATCATCAGTGACTAATGTTTGTGGTCCGGAGAGGCCAAAGTCAACCCCAAAAGCTGCTTGGCCTGTCACATCCGTAACCAGTTTCAGGGAAAGGTTGGAAAATGTGATCTCTTCTTCTTCATGGAGGTTTTGAGTTGCAGAATCTATGTATGTTTGCATGGTGGGCACTAGACTGGCCAGGTGGGATGGCTGGTAAACGGATAAAATGGTGTTTCTCATGGTTGACCATCTTGCGTCCCTGCAAGCAATACCAAGATAGAAGATCTTCATCAAAAGCCACTGAACCGAAGGTTAATGCTGTCCAGTGAAGATTCAATATTCAGAACCTTTCTATTCTAGGAAACTACCCGCCTTATGCGAAGTTTTCGAGCTCTTTGTTATCTCCCAGATCAAAATACAAAGATTCTACTTCTCTAATTATAGAAGTGATATGAAAATTTCTATGTTTGTATCACCTAGGGCCACAGGAGATTAGGATTATTTCAAACAAAATCGAAGGGTTGATAAAGCTGATACCTCAAATGTAGTTCTGCCATATCAGGAGATGCTAATTTCTTTGACGGTAAAAAATAGAACCCATAGGGGTACGGGGAAACAGACAGTTGAACACTTAAACATGCTACTCAAAAACCATAACAACAAATAATGGAATCTACTTCCAAATGTTCTAGGATATTTTCTCAAATAATGAATCACTTAATTGTTCTAAGATTTTTTCTCTGC